CCTTGTAAAAAACAATTGATTAGCGGAATAGTTTAGATGGCGACCTCTTTGTTGGGATTGACAGTGCCGATAAGCTTTGAAGTTTATTTTTTTTTAGTTGTATGCGGAGACGTACTAGTGTTGTTTTGTGGTGATGACTTTAGGTAGTATGGTTCAACCGAAACTGTACTCAAATGATTGTATTGTGGTGATTGTTTTATATTCGCTTCTTTAATTAGGTTGCTTTATTGCTGTACACTCCTGAAGCAGCCCGAAAGGGCTTTCAGTATTGTAAATAAATGAATAAATAAGGACGAAGCAGGGTTTTATAGAGAAGAAGTTTTAACGGAAAAGGGGGGGGGGGGGGGGGGGGCAAGGGAAATGTTCCGTCCGAGATAACCCAAAAGTCGATTTGCCTTGTTAGTTACATATTGGACGTGGATATTTCAGGAGAGGTTGTTGGCTATGTAAATGCCGGGCTATTTATAGGAGGACACAAAAACTAGAGTAGAGTATTTGATAGAGTAGAAAGGACAAGTGTTGATATGACGAGATACTCTTAAAGATGTACATTTAGAGATGTTAAGCTTCATGAGCGATTTCTTGCACCACTTGCAGTTGTTAATATCAACCTGAAGGGCGGAAATGTCAAAGTCGTTAACTATCTCTTTAGAAATTGCCCAGTTTTCAGCAAATAGACTAATAGAGGAAGAAACATGCATAGGAAGGTCATTGATATAAATAAAAAATAAGGGTGGTCCGAGTACAGAGCTTTGAGGGACACCGGAGTTTACAAGTGAAAGCGAAGAATTTGTGCCATTAGCACAAACAAATTTGAAGCGATTCGTTGGGAATGATTTTATCCGTGTGAGGACATTCGGATCTATGTTAAGGTTACTAAGTTTATGAAGAAGTAGCTGGTGAGAAACCTTGTCACATGCTTCTGAGGAATCCAGGAATATGAAGTCAGTCGTAGAACCCCGGTCTAGAGTAAGGTGAAGATCATGAGTCAATTAGTAGATGGGTATCACAGGAATAAAACTTTTGAAATCCATGTTGAGCTGTGTTTAAAAAAGAGTTGGAGTCAAGAAAGTTAAGATACTTACGGTTGTGATACGTTTTAGTCCTGAGTATTGTACAATGTTTGTAGTCCGAGAAGATCACTCTCGAAGCATAAAATTCTATCAAGAGATAAATGCGTATCAAATTGTAACGCGCTCGCATTGAGAGAGCAATCGGGTTTACATACCAGCAGCACCACCGCGATAGAACCAGGCTATTGCTCTCAACGTTTTATTGTGGAAATGGGCGGTTTCTGCATCAAATCCTTGAACCATAGATCTGTAACTAAAATAGTGTTTTGTTACTCGCGAATCCAGTGAAATGAAAAACCGCAAGCGTATGTCAACATTCTGGTTGTGGCCAATATTTTTAAGCGTGCTGCAGAAAAATAGCGCAAAAAAAACTAGGGTCAAAACGGAGACACAAACGACAAACAAGGCGCTAACTTACAATTCAGATTATAATTCATGCGTTCTTCATTGTTCTCTTCATCTACTTAGCTGAAACTGGTACGTGCATTAGATATGAAACTAGATTCATGCATACAAATCCAGATATATATATATATATATATATATATATATATATATATATATATATATATATATACAAACGCGTCTTTACAACAAAAATCCCCCGGTAAAAATACCGCAAAATATTTCATCTCCTTTCGCGATAATGTTCTAAGCGGCAGAAACATGGCGCTCCTAGAGCTCTTTTATTATTTTCGAGACGACGGTGCCTGGTTTGCGTTTCCGACTGGTGTGTTTACCACGTCTTGAAATGTGGCGCGTTGATATCTGCCTTAGGACGTCATAAAATTGACATTCGATCGGCTCCCTGCCGCGAGCCCGGCGGTGGCATGGCAGTATATAGGCGGACGCGACAGACGCCAGTTCTGATGAGATTGTTATTCAGCCAGACATTCGTTGGAAGCCAAAGCAGCCACGAGTTGGAACGCCGCGGCAGCGCTCGGGTCCGCGCCCGCATTTTCCGCCAGCAGCTGGGAGAGGGCACTAAACAGACCGGTCGAAGACATCGTTCCAGGCAACGTTCTTCTGGTATCTAATCTCGAACCGCTCAAATGATGCTACGCCGTCTCACACTTAGAGGTGCCAAGGAACATCACGTAAATGCACTGAAAGAGTAATTATTGAATATTGTTACACTGGATCACTTGACGACGTCAGAATATCAATCTGTCCCTCAGATGTTATCTCAGTGTTTGGTTTGTATGTCAACATGCACAATCGAAAAGGGTCATCCTTCAGTGAAGACAGCACCAGTACAAGACTTCCATACAACATGCCCTGCAAATGAATGTGCGAAGTGCATGTGAGTAAGCGCGTGCAACTCCGTGCCAGACTTTTTTCTTGCAAGATGAATTAAAGCGTTCTATCAATTGCACAAAAAAAAATTACATTGGATTCGTCATGCTGACGAAAAACGGGAAGCACAAAACGTGTTCCCAACGAGCTGGGGCGCATACTAGGTGTGTGTGATGTCACGTGATATCATGAGATCACATTACTCTAACGTAACAATGTCATGTGATGTCATGAGATGTCACGGCGCCAAATGGCAGTATAAGGTTACGCGACGTTGTGGCGCCAGGTGGCACCATGACGCCACAATCCTGCGCAAACGGGAGATCAAGACGGCTTTCTCGTAGGATTCGGCTGATAGAACATACTTTCTTTCGGGGAATGAAGGTAATTTATTGATAATGCAATTATTTTTGCAGTAAAGGCGAGTAATTTAAGCTGTCATTGGCGCTATATTTCTCAGTTACGAGATTGCAAAAGGGCACGTCACGTTCAGAGCACTGTATTTGTCCTAAAACCTAGCAACTGTTACGTGCGATTTCGATGACGGGCTACGAATTTTCGATTAAACGTGCGGGAACGAATGATTATCGCCCATAATTTATTATTTAACATTTTGGGTCATAAATTTTACAACTGTCACGTCAAACTGGTTCCCTTAGGACTGCCGCTGTCAATAATGATATTTTGAAGAAAATAATTAATTTATTGATTTTGTTTTGTTATATTTTCAGACTAAACATTTAGAATATATACTCTCCTGCACAAGCAGCCGCGCGCAATGGCAGTTGTATGTGCGATTTAGTTTTTTTCATGCGGCTTATATAAGAATAACGTGTAATAATAATAATGCTTTGTTTTTTTCTTAGTGCCCAGAAACACCTGGAGCCTTTTGTCTGGTGCACTCTCAGGTCGTGTTTACAGTAACACAATTTAAAATGTACAAAAACATGGAAAAGGCAAGCATACTGGCTTGCAAAGCAGATGCAACTTCTATACAAACTAAGAGTCAGATAAAATACACTCTTACAAAGCTGCCTTCAAATGAACAGTCAATACTTTTTAGTGTTTCTGTCGTTACCTGCAGTCTTGGTTTTTTTTAATCATGTCTAATTCAAAATTGTCTGTTATTAAGAGCACACTGTATTCAAGGTAATGGAAAAATATTAGCTAATGTCGACTAGCTTCAGAGGGCACAAGAAAGACAATACGAACTAGTAAACTCTCAGATATAACAATGCCACGCACTATTTTATGAAGAAAATAAATGCCTCTGATAGCCCCCCTCGTTGAAAGCCTTCCAAGTTTAAATATTGATTGCAATAAATCGCAACTAAGAAAACAAGTTTCGACTATAATGTGTCGGTAGTAATTAATTCAAAAAAATATTCCTACACAATTTCACTCTTTGGAACTTGGTTTAAACATAGTGAGTCCAAAATATCTGAACGAAATTTAAGCCACAAGCGTTGGCGACTATACAGAACAGACGCACGACAGATAACGAATAAGTGAAAGAACGTTCTAAACGAGGGATCATTCCTAACTTTTTTTATCGCTGAATCACCTATCTTAGAAACGTGAACAGTAAATAAAATTTATGTAGACGCCACAATCTTTCAAATGAGATACACGATCTATCGCAATGCTCTAAATCCTAGAAAGGAACAAGAAAACGTCGCACTTTCTTAAAAAAGAAATAATTTAAATTTTTCCTGGATTTACCGACAAAGCGTTTTTTTTTTACACCAGTCATAAATTGCACCATTTACCAGCTTTAAAAATAAGTGCAAATATAAAAGACTTCCACAGACCAGGAAAAATGCCCTTCACGAGAGATAGGTTAAACATATATGTTGCAAAAGCGGAGCAAATATATCGGAACAGGTCATAACTGACTCCATTCGAAAGACAGCTCTCTTTTCCCAGCCGTGGAATCCTTACACATTGGCGAACTAAAACTGCAACGTCATGGTTGATTTGATGCGTTTGGTAGGATTAGAAGGCAAAAATACACCCACATGAAAAGGTTGTGAGCACACCGACGTTGAACTTCAGACTCTCTATTATTTGCTCGTCGGCTCCTAGTGTTGGCCTCTTTCTGACGTTCGCTATTTATTGGAATGGCTTGCACGTTCCAAAATGGCTGTTCTTCCGCCATTGTGCAGTGGCTCCGACCTTCCAATAATCGGCACGTGACTTTCAAAAGGGGTCCATAATAAAATTGGGTATATTGTCCATCTCCATCGAAAGCGTAGGTTTTCTTTTTTTTTTTTAATAGTTTTGAGAATTTCTACGTCATTCACAGTAAAAACAAAAGGTCTGCTTTTAAAAAAAAAAAAAAAGTTTTACCACCAGTTTTTGAAGAAGGATAGCCAGAGCAGAAGTAATCAGAAAAAAATATATGCTAAGTCAGTTGATAAAAACAGAATGCCAGCTGCTTCCCTCAAGCATGCGTTTTGCGCGGTGTCGCGGATATGGTCTTATGGTTTTCAGCATAGTACCAGAACATCCGAGATTCTTTAGTTAATTTTTTTTTTGTAACTAGTGTGGCAAATTAGTTCGCAGAGCACAGCAGTTGCACTAATGGCTCGCTAAATAAAATATTAAAAAAAAACGTATGAGACGGCGGAATAATTTTTCTCTTTTTAATTTATATTCACTGAAACAAAAATCTCTAGTTTTTTCTACCCTCTAATTTGTCAACCATGATACGCCCTTGAGTGCCTATGGTAAGAGAAATTTGCGCGGGAGACTCCTTTGATATGTGTATTTTAAACATGTGCAATACAATTTAATCAATGATTCACCATCGACCCGCGTAAATTCTAAGCTAAGCGCGACACCTGAGCGGGGTCACGTGCGCCACTATACCGGAAGAGGCCGCGGCGCAGGCCAGTACGCTGTAGCGACCGCATCGCACCTTTCCAGGTGCGATTTTATGGCTACGCGGCACTGTGCAAGCGGAAGGACGTGAATGATATTCTAGGAAATAAAACGAGGTTTCCTGTTTGATTAAAAACTACAGCTGTTGCCAAAAATGTACATATATAAACCACAGTCCGTTACGTGCGCCCACGATGCTCGAGATGAATGAAGTGATATGGAAGGATATGTGGGGTTCAGGAAAGACGTCCGTCGATGCAAATCAACACATTGATCTTTATAACCACAAACAAAAACTGAAAAGAACATAAAATGGGGGCTCCGCTGAGACCGCCCTGCTACACCATCGAACGCTGCCAGGCTCGTGCTGTTCTGTTCGAGCCCGGAACTCGGTCCCGTCGGAGCTGCTCGTGCCGCGCGCTTAAAACGTCATTAGCTCCTGACGTTGCGTGAACCACCGCGCTAAATCTCTCGCTTTGGCACTACAAGGGCTCCCCTCTAGAGGAGTCGCTAGGGCGATGTTGTGCCCAAGAGACGGAGCGATGATGCTGATGCTTGGTGGCTTGTAAGGATGGTGCCGATGGCTGGCATGAAGGCGGCCAATGTAGAGGGTCTAGGCTGGATGCGGACGAGGGTTCAAAGTGAGCAGGCTTCAGGCGGTCGACGCAGATGGTGTCATGCCGCCCGTTCAAATCCAGAACGAAGTACTTGTCGCTCCTTTCGAGGATCTTGAAAGGGCCATCGTAAGGTCGTTGCAGATATTTCCTGACTGCGTCTCGACACGAGAAGACATGTGTGGGCGAGGTTAACTCGTCGCATACGTACGTCGGATGACGGTCGTGATGCCTTGTTGGTGTGGCACGCAGGTTCCGCATAACTTCTCGAAGCTGGGTGGCATAGATGGAAGGATCGGACACGGTAGAAGTAGGAGACGTCATGAACATTTCTCCTGGGAGGCGAAGTGACTGCCCGTAAACTAGGTCTGCGGCAGTGCATCCCAAGTCTGGCTTGAGTGTTGTGCGGAGGTCTAGAAGCACGATGGGGAGAAGTGTGCTGCAGTTGTTCGGGTCATTGTGTGCTCTCAGTGCGGCCTTTAGGGTACAATGAAATCTTTCCAAGAGGCCGTTAGCAGCGGGATGGTACGCTGTCATTCAAATTCGGGAGGACCCGATAAGAGTCATGATCTCGTTGAACAAACGAGATTCGAATCGAATTGTCGATGAAAATAGATAACGGAACTCCAAATCGTGAAATCCAACCACTGACGACTGTCTTCGCTATCGGTTCCACGCGGATGTCTGCGATAGGGAAAGCTTCTGACCAGCGGGTAAATCTATCTATGCAAGTGAGTATGCAGATGGCTCCGTCGGATGGTGGCAAAGGACCGACGATGTCCACGTTGATGTTGTCGAAGCGAGCGGTGGGTGTCTGTATTGTGGCGAAAGGTGCAAAGGTATGTCGATGAACTTCAGACAGCTGACAATGCAGACACGTGCGAGCCCATTCAGGCACATCTTTGTTCATCCCTTGCCAAACGAAGCGTTGGGCGATGAGGTGTTGGGTCGCCCGAATGTCGGGATGAGAAAGGTTGTGCAGTGAGTTGAAAATAAGTCGCCGAAACGTTGGAGGTACCACCTCCAACGTTTCTGGATGATCCCGTGGACATGTCACAAATTATTGTTGTGCCGCAGCATTGCAGTAACACGTCACGCAAATCAAGGTTGCTAGATGGGGATCGTAGCTTCGGGATATCTTGGTCGCCTTGCTCTGCTGCTGTAAGAGCGGCGAAATCCACAGCGGTGGGAATGGCGATGCAGCAAGGTATCCGTGACAACACCTCAAAAGCCGAGTTGTCTGTGTCTTTGACGTGGCGGATGTCACTTGTGAACTCCACAATATATGAAAGGTGCCGACTCTCTCAAAGAGAGAAACGTTTGCTGGTCGTTTGAAGTGCGTAATTATCGGCTTATGGTCGCTGAGGATGTGAAATTGCCGACCCTCTAAATAATGCCGAAAATGTTTGATGGTGATGTATATGCCTAGTAGTTCTCGTCCAAAAGTACTGTACCGGGGCTCGGCTGGCGCCAACTTCTTGGAAAAGGACCCAAGGGGCTGCCAGTTTCCGTTAGCGAACTGTTGCGGTACTCCTCCTACAGCGACGTCCGAGGCATCCGTCATGATAGAGAGAGATGCACCAGCGTGCGGGTGCGCCAACATTGCGGCTTCTGCGAGCGATGACTTGATGGTCAGGAATGCCTCCGCTGTCTCTGGAGACCATCGTAGAGGTGCGGTGTTCCGCTGAGTTCCCTTTAGGAGATCAGTCAGGGGTTGGAGGACAGTAGCGCAATGCTGCAGAAAACGGCGATGGAAATTCACGAGGCCAAGGAACTCGCGAAGCTTCCTGCGTGATATAGGCGTTGGAAAGTTCGTGACTGCGTCGACTTTGGATGGAAGAGGGCGAGCACCCTTGGAGCCGACCTTGTGGCCAAGAAAATCCAGTTGTGAAAAGCCGAACTCGCACTTGGCATTGTTGATGATGAGCCCGTATTCCCCCATGCGCTGGAAAAGGATCTCCAGGCGTTCGAGATGTTGTTCGGAGTTAGCGCTGGACACCAGGATGTCGTCGACATAGGCAAAGCAAAAGGTAAGCCCACAGGTGACGCAGTCAACAAACCGTTGAAATGTCTGGGCCGCGTTACGAATGCCGAAAGGCATCCTCACATATTCGAAAAGTCCAAAAGGTGTTGTGATGGCTGTTTTCGGTATGTCACCTGCTTCCACGGGGATCTGATGGGACGCTTTGACCAGGTCGATTTTTGAAAAGATGGTTGCTCCCTCCAGGGACGTTCAGAAATCCGTGATGTAGGGTAGGGGATAGCGCTCTGGAATGGTGGTGTTGTTCAGGGCGCGGTAGTCTTTGCAGGACCACCAATCACCAGGGGGTTTCTTTTGCACCATATGGAGGGAGGATGCCCCTGGACTGGACGATGGTCTGATGATGCCGAGTTCAAGCATGTGCTCGAACTCGGCTTTCGCTATCTTCAACCATTCGTCCAGGAGGCGTCGTGGACGAGCATGAGTGGGAGGTTCGGACGTCACGATGTGATGTGTCACGTCGTGTTTTACTGGTTGCAGAAATTTGGCGGGACGTGTGAGCGACGGGAACCGTTGGAGAAGGTCTTCAAACTTTGTAGTGATTGGAATGCAACGTTGTGGAAGCGGTGAGATGGATGATATGCCTTGGACAGCTAGGTGAGTCGTGGAATCTGCAAGGCCTGCAAGGCCTGTGCATGTCCACTAGCAGGTTACAGTTGCGGAGACAATCTGCTCCAAGGATCGGGCCCGTCACGTCGGCAACCAGGAAAATCCATCTTAGTGGTCTTCTGAACCCGATGTTGAGGGTGAGAGCTCCTTCACCATACGTCGCGATGCGGACTTGTTTGCGGCCCGCAAGGTGACGTTAGCGCGTTGTGGCTCGATTGACATGGCCGTCACGGGTAGGACGCTTACTGCGGTGCCGGTGTCGACTAAGAACCGAAGACCAGTATTCTCGTCTAGTATAAAAAATAGACGGCTGGTTTCGGAACCGGCACCACTCGCCACCTCTAGTGGTGGGTCTGGGCGTTTTTCGAGGCCGTGCATGGTGAAACGCACTTCTTGGCTTGCGCTCCGAAAGTTCGATGGTACCATCACGTACCTTGGTAGGGTGAGGAAGAACGATGCCGACGTTGTTGAGAAGTCGATCCGTGACGTCGGTGTGTTGGAATGCGGTTGGTGAGGGCAGTGACCTGAGCAGACAGGCGTCCGATCTCAAGATGAAACTCCTCCCAAAGGCCGCTGACGTCGGCTGTGGCAGTCGTCACGCCAGCAGGTGAAGTCATGGACGGTAGTAGTCCGGTCTGTCCTTGGACCTGTGCAATGGTGGGCACAGCGACTTCTAAAACGGAGTCTGCGAGCTTTGTCAGTTCTTCGAGGTCAAGTCCAGACGCACACGTCAGGACCATGCGGACGTTAGTTGACAGCCTCTGAAGGAAAACCTCCCAAAGCAACGCGACGTCGAAGGTAAGTGCCTTCTCACCCAGAAGTTGTTGTAGGAACAGCAGCAGCTGTGAAGGCTTGCGGTCGCCCGATTCCTCTGAAGTGAGGAGCTGTTGGAGTCGGCGCTGTTCCGGCGACGTGGTCCTCCGTATGAGCTCCGCCTTGAGAATGTCGTAAGGATCGCTTGCAGGCGGTGTAAGGACCAGGTCCCTGATTTCTGCTGCGATATCTGCCGGAAGCGCTGCAATATTGTGCTGGAACCTTTTGACTTGTGAAGCAATCCGCGAGGTGGTGAACTGGCTCTCCATCTGGGCAAACCAGATCTGTGGGTCCGCCGTCCCGAATAGAGGCAAACGGAGGTGGAGTGCTGACAGTTGACCCGCCGCGGGCTGCTCAGCAACAGACATGGCGAGTGAGGGTGGCTTGAATACCCTTGGTACAGAAGATCAAGGTCTTCGGAGGTGGAGCGTTCTCAGGGCCACCAATTTGTGGGGTTCAGGAAAGACGTCCGTCGATGCAAATCAACAAATTGATCTTTATAACCACAAAAAAAAAACTCAAAAGAATATAAAATAGGAGCTCCGGTGAGACCGCCGTGCTACACCATCGAACGCTGCCAGGCTCGTGCTGTGCTGTTCGAGCCCGGAACTCGGTCCCGTCGGTGCTGCTCGTGCCGCACGCTTAAAAAGATATGCACGCGAGATGCACGCGCGCGCGGCACGCGCGCATCACGAGATGAAAACGCGAGGCTTTTGCACATCGCAACGCCTGACGTTTTCGTCGTGGAACGCGCGCGCCGGGGAGAAATCCCCGGGATTTCTTCCTCGCGTGAATACTCCTTTAAACGTCATTGGCTCCTGACGTTGCGTGAGCCACCGCTCTAAGTCTTGCGCTTTGGCGCTATACATATACGCTCGTGGGGGGGGACGAAGATTTACTATGAGACCTTAAGCGTTGCCTATGAGAGTTTCTGGAATTTCTGTACTCTTTCTTTCAGATGTACACTTTTCTCCCTCCCCGAGTGATCTCGTTGTTTGAAGCAAATTGGTAATCACTATACAACGACAAAGAGGGAAGGGGGGGACATAAATAACAAAAATACTAAGGCAGAGTGTGAATTCAAAATTTCAACCGAATTATTTGCCACTTTTTAATTGGTCAATTAATCGATTAATCGGTCTCCGTTGATTTCCATGGATAATATTTTTGGGACGTCAAATTTACATTTGTTTGCCTTGGCCGAATATGTGATATGTGGCGCAAATAAGTGCCATTTCGATTATGAATCAATATCAATGTGTAGTTGAGAACAGTTCAGAGACGCTCACACTCACTGATTGTTACTTCAGATGCATGGGGAAAACGGGTTCTTTAATATTTTTCGGCAAGAGTGACCCCCTTTGATTGTTCGCAATAGTATCTGTGGGGCTAAGCGAACAATCGCGCGTCGTTGAAGTAGTAGGGACACGTTTAACCTTCTACACTTGTTTGTAGCTACAAATCTCACCCTACAGTTTGCTCTAGGGTAAAATTTCACCTAAATTTTATCCTTCACATGCCTGTCCACGTCTACGTGGTGAAAGCATTCAATTTTTACTTCTGGTTCGTCAGATTTTTACTGAGTAACTGCTTAAAAAAATTAATCGCGAATAAAGCATCAATTGATTAATCGGTAGGATAATCGATCAATTCATCAGCGCAAAAGATATGCAAGGCTAGGCTGGAGGCAGCTCAGGCAGACTGAACCTCCCGAACGTTGCTGGTTGCGGCCGCTTTTTGATACAACAAGCTGTTTCTAGTATTTTCTTCTCAACATTGATAAAAGGCCTTTGAGAAGGGAACCACGTGTCAAAGTCTACCACTGCTGACGAAGCAAACGTTCGCTGCAGGAGACGCGGTAAGAGACGCAGTCGTCTATGTGAACGTCACGACGCCGGCAGCGACGGCGCGGCCACGAATTTAATCGCCTAAGTAAAGTGCATCGTCAAAGAAGGTGCGACAGGAGTCTCTGTCACCGATGTGGACAGTGCCGCCAACGAAAACGTGACAGCCACTTCAGTCACCAATGTAAGAACGAACCAACGAAAAAGAGTCGCCGTATATCGCGAACACGCCTTCACGTAACCTTTAGTCGCTCACGTTGCGGGCGACGTGGCAGTCATTTATTTCATCCGTATAGTGTACGAACTTGGGATGTCAAACAAACTCGTGGTAAACAATCGGAACGCGAACCGAATCAAAACAAGCGAATCACACCCGGCAGCGCTGATGCTTGGATTCGCGGCGTCATAAATCTTAATGGCAGCGCCCAGCCCCATCATAGTGACCACTGACCAGCACCCTTTCGAGCACTCTCAAGGCAGCGCCGCATGGTTGCCAAGGGCAAGTTCGAAAAAAAGTTTAGTTTCATCAGATGAACTGATTTACCCTTTTAAAATCTTGATATCTTCCAAGCTTTACATCCTTTTCTTTAAGAGGGGTCTGAAATGTGACAAAAGGGTAGAATTTATATAAAACATGTAGTACGTCTTCATAGTAGCATTATAAAACGAATCAGTTAACGTACGGTGGTCACCAAACTTATCAGAATCACGCGAGCACTGTCTTATCTTATGCGAGCGCTATCCTGGCGGCGGCGTAACAACGGCTTCATGACGTAGCGCTCAATGAAATAGTCCGAGGAGGAGAGGCCGCTCGCTAGACAATAAACGCCATAGCAATTTTACCGGCCTATTAATCTATACCCGTCTCCACCTCTTCGCGCGAAGATGGAAAGGTGACTGTTGAAACAGTTTGGGAGAGGATGATTCAATCAGTAACCCCATGATACTTCTGCAGAATGAGGTAAAAAGAAGAGGTGTGCGAATAGTTGTTCGAATCGAATATCGCTGCGTCATTTATAGCCTTCAGAGCTCCAAAAAAGAACCCAAACCTACCGGTTCTTTTTGCAGTGTTGATGCTGAAAATGACATTGCGCTATTCGATTCGAACCACTATTCGCACACCCTTAAAACTAAGAAGCGTAGATTGCTTCGCAGGTAAACTCGCTCTGTGGATCTCTGTTTCAGAAGCGATTTCAGCCTTGAGCGAGTGCTCACCCCCCCCCCCCCCCCCTCCCTTACTCGGACTCTTTCATTGAAAGGTACGTCACGAAGCAGTTCTTCGGCTGTCGCCAGGATAGCGCTCCCATAAAATAAAACGCCGTTCGCGTATTCCGGGTATGTTTGGTAAGCAATATCCATCGGCAGATGAATCGAACTTACCTGGTGTTGTAGCCATACATTTATTTCTAAAGCATTCAATATTGCCATGAACGCGCAACCAATAGTTGATTTCACTTACCATTATATTCATAAAAGAAAAGAAGAAAATATATACATTTTTTTAAGTTGATAGTCCAGCAATTTCAGATGGATCCCGCCCTATTAAAAAGTAAATATTCTATTTGTATCTACCTGTCGCCAACACCGATTATGATATGGGAGCCTGGAACAAAGTGGCAAAGGGTTTTTATTGAAAGGGAATATTTTCAGGATTAAATTCGATGAATGGTGTATTCGCACAACAGATCTTTATATCCAGTTAAAACAGAGGAGGAAATTCCCCGAGAAGGAGGACGCCGTAAAAAAATGCTAGCGAGAATTCGCGGGTCCGAGTCGCATGTACTAGATCTTTTTTTGTAACTTTTTTTACTAACGACAACGGTCTGGGTGTTGTCTGCACACTACAAATTAAGGGCAGCCTCATCCGCCTCCGCCTGTCGTGCCGCAGTATCGCTTTTCGTTGCTTTGTAACACTGCCGACGTTGTTAAAAGAAAAAAAATCGTAAAAAAGTTTAATTACGCGCGAAGATATGTGCCCCCAACGTTGGTCGTATGACACTGTGCCTTTGAGAGTAGTGACAGCGGGAAGAAGGGGTCAGGAAAAGAGGATGTGCACTTCTAGTAACCCTCTATAGAGGGTTACTAGAAGAGCACGGCAACAGTGGCAGCATGGTAGGCTCACAGCAAAGCAAGGTTGTTTTTTTTTCTTTTTTTCCGGGTCATATTTTTCATATTTTTGCAATAAATATATGTGGAAGACAAGTTCTTCGGAAGAACATTCAGTTATAAGTGAATGCCGTAGCTAAATTTTTCTTTGAGATATGAAATTGAGAAGCTCGATGCGTCTACATTGCCGAGATTTCACTATGGTAATTTTCACAGCCGCCAATCTCACACCAAAACAGGCACGTATTTAACGATTTTTTGTTATTTATTGCGTAAGCAATTTACAACGCGCACGCCAAATATTATAAATTAAGATTATATACTTTAATGCAAAACAAAAATTACGAAACACATAAAAAAACACGTTTTAGAGACACTTTCACAAATTATTTACCAACAAAACGCTTTATCCAAAATGCCTCAAATGTAAATGTGCGCCTTGAAATGCAGCTTACGCATATATAAAAAAATATTTGCTTAAACATTATTGTACTTGTGCTAATAATGCAGAGATATAAGTCATTTATGTAAAAGTTCTAAAATTTCACGTCAATATTTAAAAAAACAAATCTCCATCGTTTGTTTCTCTTAAACACTCCTTAATTCCTGGACGTAACTTGAAATAACTTGTGATGCCAAACTTATTCAGTAGCATATGACCTCCAATTCAGAAAAGCGACAACAAACCTCCATTCAAATTCAGCTAGCTTGTCTTCATTATAGGGGCTTTGCCACACGATGTCAGCTCCGAGAAGATAAGCTCTGAGGACCAACAAAATATGTTGAACAGTGCTGCGCTATTGCAGAGCGTAGAATGTCGTCATAACATAAAATCATGAGATCAAAAAAAGAAAGGAAAAACGCAACAAAAATTTCAAGGACAGCTAAGTTTCTTCGACCATATATTTTTACAGCCTACCCACTTTACGTGAAATTGAAGGACCAACGAAGCTGTTATCTTTACGACAAATTTACGACAACTTTATGACAACTTTGCAACAACTATACGACGTCTACACGATTTACATATGGTTGCAATGAATATACAATGTACACGACTTCGTTGTTTAGTTGTCTTTATTTAATTCTAAGTGAATAAAGTGATCATTGCCTTTTGGTCACTAGGGTAAACAGCCATTGGTTGCATTAGAGCGAATGGCGGTTAACGTCACAGCGAATTGTTATATTGATTGAACAAAGACGTATATTGTATCGTGGACACTGTTAGCTATAACACGGCAGCGACTGCCGTCCCGAATCCCGAGCCCCCAGCGACAGATAGCAGGCGCCGTCCGAAACTCTGCGCATACGACGTGTAGCGGACTCGTTCTTCCCGTTTGCGAGCACACCCTCGCTTTGTCGTGTGCTAGGCGCAGAAAAGGCGATGCCAAGGTGCTGCTCGTCTGGTACCCTGGCCGTACCGAACTGGTCTCAAACTCATTTCCAACCGGCAATTTTTATTGGGGCAGATTGCAAAGTCATTAGGGCATTAATCCTGTTTAAGTTTTTTTTTTTTTTTTGCTTTTTTGCGAACAGGCGTGCGGAATGCATCTTTAACGATATGCGTTCGCAAACCAGTATGAGCGCTGCAGGTGTGATACAGAAATAGACTGATATACTCCGTTTCACCTTACGTCCGAGCGCAGCGTACGCTACAAAACGACAGAGCCAATCAAATAACGGCAAAGGTGCAACGTCACAGAGTGCATCACCGGGAGACCCAATAAGGTGCAAAAAGTGCGCTTTTGTCGCTGCTTGGTTGGCCCTATCGTCTCGTAGCGTCCGCTGCGCTGAGACCTAAAGTGAAGCGGAGTATAACTGCAAGGTTGTCCCATAAAAAAAATGTAATCTACTATGATATTGCATTTAGTGGCGATGATTATTCTTAGCCAGCGGAGTCGGGAAATCAACCGTGGGCACCTCTTACGCGGTACTCGGCGAGTGCTGTGGCGTCGTCTGCTCTGTGCCTATATTTCGTTTTACCTTATGTCCGAGCGCGGACGATGTTACGAGCCGAAGGGCCAATCAAACAGCGCAAAAAGCGCAACGTCATGGCGTGCTCTCTACGCTTGATAGGACTGGCCGGCGGAGGAGCACGCACAGAGAGGCGGCGAATACCGGCTATTCCTATAAACGGCAGAGAGCACACCATGACGTTGTGCCGCCTTCGCTGTTTGATTGGCCGTTCGGCTCATAACATCGGCCGCGCTCGGACCTAGGCTGAAACGATGTATAGCAGACGACAAAGCGACGATGTGCTCGCAGGCAGGAAGAGCGAGTCTGCCGCACGGCGCATGCGCGGAGTTTCGGACGGCGCCTGCTATGTTGCGCTGGGGGTACGGGACGGCCGCCGCTGCCGTATTATAGCTAACAGTGTCCACGATAGTACATAAAGGCGATGAGCTCTTTCAATACACGACGTTGTAAGTTATACACCAAAATTTTCGAGTCGCACCTCAAAAACAGTTTTTTTTTTTTCGATTGAGCTTAAGTTTTTTTGTCAGCATTGCGGCAGCGAAAAAAAAGAAAGATCAGCACGTTTTATCCTCAGCCTCGTCACAGCGCACTCTTAGCTGAGATAAGTCGGTGACCGTGGATGAGAACAAGGGGCCAAGACCACACTTTCGAATAATGCCAAGGAATGCTGACTCACGCGGGTTGCCCCCTCTTTTTATTTATCCTTGCAACGACCAATCGGAACGAACGAGTGCCGTTTAAACGGGATTTTTTTTTTAAGTCTATGAACGCATCTTTTTTTAGATCCTATCACATAACAGCTTCGCTATAAAAACAGAATATGACGTCGACGTCGCGAAGATTTTTCCAGATGTGGCCCTACAACACTAGACACGCTTCCGACAACGAGCCTCCGCCGCCAAGCACCAGCAAAGATAATTGCCGTCAAGATCACGGGAACCGATCAACTTCCTAATCTCAGGGTGTTACCAAGCCTTGTTTTATCTTTCTGTTTCCTTGTGTATCCTCCTAAACTGCCCCCCCCCCCCCTCCTTCTCTCTGATTTCCTAAGGAGAGTCGGCGGGGCGTCACTGCTGCCGGCAGTTGCGAACAGTATGAATGGCAGATTGCCTTGGTAACTGAATAAAAGGTTAAAAAGCGCGAACAAACGAGGACAATAAAGAAACACGGACGACAGGACAGGCGCTTCACTCTCAACTGGTTTTTATTAACACCATTGTCACCTATATATACACATTGCCCAAACCACATCGGATTCAATCGCGACAATCATAGCCAACCTTCCAGAAACACCATCTCACTCTGGAGCAAATACAAAGACGGAGCGCTGACGCAATTGTTTTCTTTCTTTTTTATGTAGAACGCCTCTACAATCTCTCTTTCCGTTTTTTCCTTTGCCTTTCTTAAAAACTTTGTGCCAGTCAGGTCAGGTTTGCATCCACATCGCCCACAATGGTCAGCGAGATGGCCCCCCGCGTTGTTGCGCAGACACAAATTATGTTCACGTGCTCTATC